GCAAGCGCCATGACCATGGGTTCATGGTGTTTGATTGGCGGAGCTCAGACACTTGCCACAGGCCATCGGAATGAGGATGGCCCTGGCAATCTGAAATCCTCTGGTGGACACACGAACAGGTATCCATGAGGGACGGAGTAAAAGGTCCCGACGTAAAGGGTAAATACAGCAGCATTGACAAGGGCTGTATCCACATCAGTGAGCACCGAATTGCTGTTGACACACATATACCATAATGCTCTTTCATGGATGTCACATTGAGCCGATCAAACATCCTATTTGCCTGGCTCAGCCATGATTCGGGCCGCTCGAAATTTACTTCGAGGGATGTTCAAGTTGGCTCGTGGGAAAAATCATTGCTGTAAATACATCAATCAGTAGAAGCACTGGTATCTGTGATGACGACCTGCCGTTCCCAGCCATTGGCCATAGTTTTCCTACGTATCGTCCAGGCCCATCGCTCGTAAGTTATGACTGGATTAATGGGAATTATAATTGGATTATTCGCGTCCACAATATGAAAGGCCTTCAATCCTTCTGAGCTCCAGAGTATTGATGCTAGGTGTATAGGAGGTGCAGAACCATCCACATAGGGGAAGAAATTCTGTTTGAAATTGTGATAAGAGATCGAATGATACTGTTCTGGCGTGAGCGGCGGAAACAACTTGTGGTATGCATTGTTTAGCATGACACTATCAATCCCTGGAATCATTGGGCAAGGATATTGTGAAGAGGGTGGGTTGTTCCACGGCGAACAATTGGACCCGACGTCTATACAGAGCCGGCCATTCGAACGATCTATCCACAAAGTAGGATATCGAACTTCCTGTGAACATGATCCGAAACAATATGCGGGGATGACATGCCTATCTCACCAACTCTCCATGGAACAGGAAATGAAAGTAGTCTTGCACGTCCTGTGACAGTATCAGAGACTGGTGTATCACTTTAGTTGATCATTGTTACTTTCAACTCCGTGAACTGAGATATGATTAATGCTGGAGGAAAGCAGCAGGCAGGCTCACATACCGCCCGAGCACACAAATGGACCATCAAAGAATGTGACTGCTTATACAGACGTTCAAAGTCGTCCAATGGTATCAGATCTGTCGTATTACACATGAGTATTCAATATCAAACCAGTTATGTCTCACCGTCGTGGAAAATGAGTCCGTGCATCTCATGGGAGCTTGCAACTCCATAAAGCTGCGGGATGTTGGGATGTCTACCAATTTGGATCGGTCACCGAACAAAAAATGGATATCTGAAAGCGCACCGAAGCCACAGATACCTCAATAGATCCTCCCGCCATTCCTGCGGATCCCGGATTCAGAGCATTCCGGCAGAGCGAAAACAAGTAGACCACGGTACATACCTTCTCCGCATTATCACCCTGATACATCGCCACAGTCATGTCCGTTTGCTTGCCCTCGATTCTGGCCGAGTACATCCGGCGGATGATTCTTTCCCCCTTCCATGGTGTGATAACGCCGACTCCATGGCGCAAATAGATGTCGCCCATAGGAACCATTCGAAAATCTACCTGCCGTAAGCTGACATGGAATAGTGGAATATGTAATGCGTACCGGGAGGGAGGGGAGGAACGGCCTGCGTGATATTTGTGACGTTGCTTGTGAACACACCGCCTGATATTAGCAGTCTGTCAGACCGGGGAAATAAAGCGCCGGCATATCTGAAATCAGCGTGTGAGCCATGAAGCGGTCCATTACATTCATGGGATGGACACACTGCGCAGTACGGCTTCCGAACGCTGGCCTTCTGGCTCGGGGTGACCTTTCTCGGGCATTGTAGTGGGGGAAAGACGCAAGTGCTGCACCGGGCGGTGTTTCCCTGTTTATTATAAGAGAGTTGTAAATAACGCACTTAGCTGTAGAAGTTCTCGGGCACGCGGCGTACGCATAGCATCGCATGTTCAACAGCTTTCGAGTGATGTCGCAGTTCTTAACATATAGTATGGCCAACAAGAAAACGTCACGGGAGAGTTGACGTGGCAGCGGCAGTTCGCTCCGAGGACCTTTCACCAGTTCCCCTGAACTCGAGCCAGATTTACGCTTTTGGACCAGGTACGCGGGAACGGAGATGAACAGCACTTTCCCAATGACGCGGACTGGTTTAATTCGCAGATAGTGACGACTGGCTTGGAAGGGTCCCCCGCGTAAATACCGCAGGAATTACATAGATGTACTGCAGACTGCAGTAGCACGCGGAGACGACGCGGGAGATATTCGGCCATGAATGCCAGTGATCCAAGAAGAAGCCAAGGGTGTCAGTCGGTCCGAGCATCTCAGTCCTTATATTGGAGCCCGATATTTTCGCATAGACATCAGGCTGCGTCGTTGCGCACAGACCGTAGGAGTTCTCAGTACACGAGTCAGCACGACTCGCGCCGTGACAGATCGAGTCTAGGGGGAAGAATAGGGCGTAGATGAAGGGCAAGCTTTACAATTGTGAGAACTGGGAAGAATCGAGGACGCCAGTTTGAGGAAGAGGGAGCAAAGAGGGAGCGAGGGAGTTACTGTAGTTGGGATCAGCGCCGACTCGTGGCAAGAGTAGGGCTGCCGCCCGTGCCCGTGGCCACGGTTCCACGGCAGCCGTGCCACGGGTACCGTGCCCGTGCCGTCGAGGATTTTGTGCAACCCTTCACGGCACGGGCACGGCACGGGTGTGAGCCGTGTGAGCCGTTGAAAACACGGCCGTCACGGCCGTCTCACGGGTTGGCCGGACCCAGTAAAATCACTGTCTGAATGTCTCTCTCATGGACCTGATTACTACCAGCTCTCTACTTACCATCTAAAGACTCATTTCAGAGGACATCCAACTCGTATGAATGCGCCAAAGTCCTTAAAGCAGGAGGAATCACGAAGTGATCCCGGATCAGAAGTGATTCGGCACCGTGAGCCGACGCGCAATCCTTACACCAGCCACCATCGAAACATTGATGCTGGGTAAGCAACGCCTCCACCTGAATCGCACCACTATCCAGCAGATTTTCGGTTGAATTACTTGTGATATATAAGCACCATAAACAATTTTCCTTTGCGCCGAGTGAGCCGACAGACCCGTGGTACCGTTTACGGCCGTGCCGTTGACCGTGCCGTCCCGTTGGAGCCTCTAAGATCGCCCTCACGGCCCGGGTGGGGCACGGCCATGCCGTGTAAAAGCCGTCGATTCCACGGCCGTGCCCGTGACGGGAACGGGTGGCAGCCCTAGGCAAGAGTCGGCAAAATCCGGGGCATACACCTCATCAGTGATAGGATCGCACAGCCACCTGCCTTCTCTCCTTGGTCTCGACGGGACGGGCTATCAAGGCGGCCTTAGGGCCGTCCGCTTCAAAGGCGGTCCATTGATGGAAATGTGCCGTGTTTGATGTAAATATGACGGCTTTTTGAATGTTCATGTGGGACGGGTTTTGTATATCCTCCGACGGGACTGATTCTTCGTGTGTGGCTTTAGACACGTTGACGCCTCGCACACTGTCTCGCCACACATATCTGCTTTGTCTTTCCCTCTTTTGCTATCCAATCCTCGGATCGGTCATGTCCACGTCTACTGTACCATTTCGACCGTAGGTTCAGGTGACGGTGACAGACGGTCGTGAACTGAACCTATTCGGTAGAGGTGACGGTGACGGTCGGCATTTCTGGCCCAAATGGGCTCAAAAATGCGCAAATTTTTCCTCCGGCAGTCGCTGGGTTACCATAAATGGTAATTTTGCTGTGATTGCCGAGGAATGAACATCTTAGAAAATGAACATGTTAGGTGACGGGTGACATGGTGTGAACCTACGGTCGAAATGGTACAGTGTTGTAACCCTGGCTTATGGGGTTGCATCTGAGTTGGTCAGCTTGCAGTACTATAGGGTGTGTTATCTACCCCCATTCACCTTTAAGCTGCGCTGTTCAATTCCGACATCAAGTTGTGAGTATGTACTCCGGCAAGCGTGCTACATCATGGAAGCAAGTGTTGTCCCAGACATTGCTCAAAGTCCTTAATTTCAATCGCCGCGTACCGAATGGACGCGCGGCTGGTTCCATAGGCGGGCACCCTCTGATCTTGACTGTAGATAATGAGCTCATTCGGTCAAACGGCCAGCGGCCCGCTCGTCGCTTTCTTGATCGCTGATTCAGCGAGCCAGTGGCTGCTTATAAAACAGGCCTTGCGGAAGCGACACTCGCAATCTTATTCCACCCTCTGTATAAAGGGACATGTCTTTCGGTACGTCCCCGGCGTTCTCGGTCAATACCACTGCTGAAGAGGTCGCGAGTGCATTCTCTACCGAGATCCGGGGCAAAAATGGTGCGTGGGGTCGTACTTACGAATTCCGCGCATATAAAAGCCTGCCTGCTTATTCAACTCAACGGCTTAGTCCTGATTACTGGAACGTCTATCAACGCAATTGGCTTCGAAGCCACGCGCGTCGTCGCAAAGCACGCCAGCCTGGTGATAATAACCGGATACAATGCTGAGAGGTTTGTCTTCCGGCCGTTGTTCTTGTTTCTCGCGACAGCCGAAAGGCTAATTGCACGCCCCCACGTGGCCAGATTGAAACTCTCAGAGGAGGCGATCAAGAAGGAATTTCTAGATGCCAACTCACCCTCGATCTGGGATCTCTGGCCGGTGTTCGCAAGGCTACCGCGGAAGTGAGCACATACGCAGAGCCACTCCATGTGCGCAATGCGCATGCATATTAATTTCCGGAGCGGGCCCGCTCATTCGCTTCTTACTCCCTTACATTCAGGTTCTAATCCACAATGCCGCAGCCGCTGTAGGCCGTTTCAGACTCACCCCGGACGGCCTCGAGAGTCAGATCGCGACGGACCACATCGGGCCCTTCCTCCCGGTCACGGAATCGCTTGCGTCCACGAGCGAAACGTTGAAGATTGGCAACGACCTTGGCAATCATGCATCAACACGAAGTTATTCGGTCCTAAGGCAGTCGCATGAGACTCTTAGGAATGACTCCACAACATTTGGGTGAGTCTGCGGTGCCACGTGTAGCGGTAACATGCGGGCTTCTAACATCTGACTCATTATGATATGATAGTGTTGAGCCTGAGCCCGGGGTTCGACTCCTCGCCAAGGAACATTTTTGTGCTTTGTTACTTATTTATTCCCACTCCCATTCAAACAGGACCTCCTGCTGAGGCGTATTTCTACCCCACACGAATCATTGCTGTTGCATAATCTGAAAGAGACTGTAGTTCAATGTTCTTGATCTTCCTCATCGGGACCGGGGTACAAAAAATCATTGCTCACCTCAAATATCGGTTGAAACTCCACAGTACAACACGACCGCAAAAATAGATGTAGCTCACCGTTCTTGATCTTCGAACTTATCCCTGACGGGTGCAAAAATAAAATCATTGCTCAGCTCAAATAACTCCGTGTAATACGTGGGAAAACTCACCATGCACTGCAGAAAAATCCGAGCAAATAGTGCTTGGAACCTCCACCCGGGGACTCACAGATCGTCTATTGATACCACCTCAGAGAAAGACTCCATTTCTCATACTTCAAGGAAAAGCTACGACAGGGACGGTGAGGGACCAGGGCGCTTGCATCAATGTAGGAAATTTATTTGCGGTCCAGTACATATAAATTAACCCTATCCCGTGTTTCGAATATCGCGCTATTGTATGCCCCGAATAAAAACGAACATTTTGCGAAAATTTTCAAATTTAAAATGGGACAATGGAGATGTGATGGGTTTCGTAAGCAATGTTACGTACACGGGCGCTTATTGTCTTTTCGTCATTGTCGTCGACGACAAGCCCATTGTCGATGTCGATGTCGGTGTGGGAAGCCCATTGTCGACTTTCCCGCCCATTATCAACTTTCGCGCTGCCCATTGTCCAGCCTGCCGCTCATTGTCACAGTTGCTAGCGCCAGAAGCACCGGCGTCGGACCGCCCGCCCGGCCTAGCTCTACGACTGGACAGCGGAGTCTGGGATCAAGTCTCGCGATTGAGTTGCCCTCCAGCTGCGTGCGAACCTCCTCATCATTGATTTGACTGCTACTGGCATGTGCACCCTCACCTACGATGGAGCTTTGAAGCCGATCTCACACGTTCCGCCCTCAGCACGCGGCGCCTGGTCATTGTCTCGGACTCGGACTCGGTCTCGGTCTCGCAGCTTCGCTGTCGTCTCGCCAAGCGGAGCTGGTACAGTATTCGATATTCATATCCGCTGCCGCCGCCCGATTCGAACGCAAGATACTTATGGTACTCGAACGTTGACGCCGCCTGTACGCCAGATCGGCACCCTCCATCACTAGTACTCCAAGTACCACTTCGACTCCCGAATCGTTCCTCCTCCTCTCGACCCGGTTCGAAGCAAATCAAGCTCTCTCTGGAGTCTGAACTTTGGAATTTGGCCGCCAGCCGCTTCCTTGATCTGGTTTTCCGGTATGTACGATGAAGCCCCGCCGACTACGAGTGCGAATATTTGAACTGAGATGCATCGGGGTCTTTCTTTGGGTCGCACTGCGATGCTCGGCGCGACGCTCTCCGGCCGGCATGCAAGTCTCAGCCTTCCATTCATCTCGGCGTGAAGCGGAAATGAGCCCTGGAATTCTGCGACTCCAGAAGGGGCACACGAGCAGAGCGAACACGCGACGCCTATCCACACGTATACGACGGCGGACTCACTCTCAGGGTGAATACGCGTAATACATGCGGTCCGTTCTGGAGCTAACCCTCTGTTTTCGGTGTTGTCTTCCGTTCCGTGCGCCAGCGGACGGCACCCGACGTCCGACTCGGCTTTGACAGATATTCGACGAATGCCCTTCGAATATCCGGATCTCGGGCAGCGGGAACCTTTTCGTTCTTGATTTGCCTGAGCTCGAGGTGCGATGCGTACCCGCCCAAGCTCCTCTTTTTTCAATTCGACTTCTCACTCATCTGCTCGTCTGCCAGTACCCATAATGACCTCTGTCGTGAATTCGGAGCTTTCATGTCTGGCACTGGACCGATCTTCGCGGCCAACCCCACCGAGTCCGACTCCAAGAGTGACGTTCAGCACCTTCAGACTCGTCCGTATTCCACTATGTACACATCAAACCTACAAGCGACGGCGCGCGCCGTCCTCCGAGGGGGGCGAATCCAAATCCACCTCTATACTACACAGCCCAGGGTGCGCGATCCCTCTCTGCTTTCGGCTTCGGGTTCCGTGCGGAAAACACCAGCTTCAGGAACTTCGGGATGGAATGCACACATACCCGACGTCCATTGATTACTGCGCGGTGTCTTTCTAAGCTCTTCTTCAAGCTTTTCGTCGACTCCTCTTCTGCCGCCATCCATAACCTCCTCTCGCGCGCGATTTTGCGAGCTCGGTGCCACTGCTTTCACTGCTGGCCTGTTGACCTACGTACGCTGCTATCTCTGTCCGATCGGCTCGGATGCTGATTGTATTGCCTTCCCATAGGAATTTTCATAAATTCGCGTCGAACTCCGTGCATGAGTATGGAGATTCCCTGCGAAGGCAGGCTGCCTAGCTGACAGGACTTGAGATAACTACACACTACATCTTTCGATCGTTCAAGCGCCTCGTCCTCAGAACGAGTCCTCCGAACGACAACCTGCCGCGGCTACAGTCTCTTCGCGGATCCCCACTGACTACTTCACGTTTCCGGGACACCACTGGCGCTCGACGTCAATGCGGCATGGGGCATTCTCAGACACGGACTGTTATATGTATATGACGGACGACCCTGCGCGGTGTGAGTACTTACGCCTGGTCGTCTATCCTGTCAGTTGATCAAATATATTTGTCGTAAAAGGGCAGTGTCAATACAAGATACATACGAGCCAGGTTCACTGAGCTATCGAAACATCGCTCGATTCCGTTTACATCAGGAGGTTGTTCGCCCACCTAAGTCGTATGCTGTCCCACACTGCTCATCCACGCTTATAGGAAATGTGAAAAGATCAACAACATTAGTTCAACGACGTCCAGGCTATCTCATACTGTACATGCATACATTTTCTCGCTGCAAGAAATGAACATACGGACGACCACTCATCCCTGGTTCGCGAGGCGTATGAACGCACTAACGAGCAGGGTCTTGTCGACTGAGCTCAGCCCGGCCAGCTCCGGGGCCGCCTTGACGAACTGATCCACCTCGTTTTTCCCAAGCTCCGCGATACTGTAGAGCTTTTGGGCCTTCGTGAAGCCGGCGGCTCTGAGCATGGCGTACGACTTGTGGTCGTCGATGCCGGCGTTCTTGAGGAAGGTCAAAAGGAAGTCGGTCGCGGGGACGGTCGCTTCGTCGGTGTTGCTGCCGCTGCCGCTGGCGGTGGCGTTGGCGTGGGTGTTGGCGTTGCTGGTGGCCGTACCAACAGGTTGTCCCCCCGGCATCTTGTTGGTGGACGCCCGAGTGCGCGGGCCATTTCCGCCAGCGTTCGAGGCACCCTGTAAGGTCGGGGATGAGTCTGTGCGAATGAGTGTGGAGGGCAAGAGGTCGCTCACCGACGGGTTCGCGTTTTTCTGCCCTGCGTTGACGCCGGTCGGCCCACCGGCTTTGATCTATGTATGGCACGGTCAGCACCGTGGTTAGTGTCCCTGAAGAAAGAAAGAATGCCGTTCGCGACTCACCTCTTTGAGGATGTCGTAGAACTCTTGGGTGATGAACGTTCCGTCATTGTCCGCCCGTTCGTGTTTGTATTTCTTGATGGAGTCGAGGGACCAGCCGGCTTTGGGGTGGCCCTGGATGTCCCGGGGCCCGCAGTCGTTGGCGATGAGGAAGCGGATTAGGGCCTTGTCGCGGTCGCTGAGGCGCAGGCTGTCAATGGGCACGGGAAGTCGTAAGCGTGAGTTGGGAGGAAGATGCAGGTGGGACGAATGGATGGGCCACTTACTACGGGCCTGCGCGGCGGGGGCCTTTGTCGGACATCTCGGCACCAACCGCGGTGCCAGGAACGGGTCCGTGGGTAGGGTTGAGATTAGGCGCATTGTAAAGGTCTATTGCCCTCATTTCTGTTTCGGAGAGGCCGCCGTTGGAGGTGGAAGGACGGCCGAAGGTATTCGTGGGATGAGGGTACATGTTGTATGCAGGTCGCCCCTGTGGCCGTTGGCTCTCTCTTTATGTATGGAGTTCCGAGGGTTCTAGCTTAGTGCCTCATGCCCAGAGGAAAGATAGAGTTCAACTTGGAGTTCTCCGTGCGCAGCGACATCAAGGGTCGAAGTTAGTAAGGTTCAATATCAAGGCCACTGAAACCGCACAGGATCAAACGTGGTGCCCTACATAAAAGCCAAATAAAACCTTCTGAAAGAGGCAAAAGAAGCACAACTCGCGCCAGGGTCTATTTCCCCCTACCACGCTTTCCGATGCTGTAGCTCGGCCATTCCGCGTATTAACGCCAAGTTTCAACAGGCTGGGCCAGAACCTTAAAAAAAATCAACCGCTCAGCGGCCCTTGATCGACGCTGCCGAAAATAGTCGCTGAGAAAACAGAAGCATTTCTCACACTGCGTATTTCCCCTCTAGCTCCAGACTAAAGAAGCACTGATACAGGGTACAAAAAGAAATTTCTCCAGTCCCCGTGTGTCTGAAAATATAGGCACCAACTTATGATTCCATCAGCGGTAAAGATCCGCGGGCCTGGGGACGCGTAACGCTCAGGCAACGCCCACCGACCGACCTATCGCCCCAGCAGTGCCCTCCGACGGCTCAGCGACGGTTCAGCGACGGCTCTGATGCGGTACAGCGATGGACTCCTGAAATCTTGATTTTGATTAGCCTTATGGACCGTATGTGGTCAGTGGCCACTGGTCGCGGTCGAGTGCCACTTGGCACCGAGGGAGTGTGGATGCACCTGGGATCGCTTGAGTACTGGACTTCTGGACCTCGCCCGTTCGCTAAGCGCTCAGTCTCTTGTTTCCTCCCAGATCTTGACACGATGTGCACTGACACGACATCGACCTCGTCGGCGTCTCTTTCTACTGTATGTATAATGCGTCGCGTTCAAGCTGTCTGCTCGACGATACTGAAATTTACCGCGTCCCCCTTGATTCTGGACCCCAACAATTATCGATCGCCTCCGTCGCTCCGACGTCACAGAGGCCAATAGAAAGGTGGCCGCTCGATGG